GCCTGAGACCCAAACCCGTGTTCCCTGGGTCACCAGCTAGAACCAGACATGCCGTGGTCCACATGGGTTCAGACAGAGACACGTATGGTGCTGTGTTCCCAGGAACACCATGACGTTCTTGTGTGACAGTTGCCAGGGAGGGGACAGGTAAGTGGGGCACAAACAGGGCGACAATAGTGCAATAAAGGGCAAAACAGCGGCACAGGAACGACAAGACAGTGACAGTGTAATACAAGGAGTGGACCAATGAATATGCAATAAACATGCAATACTGCATATTTATTATGTATGTGATTTCAATTGCGACAATTCAAAGGCATTTATACACACACACACACACACACACAGGTTTGTAATTACAGTATATCTTTGTGGGGGCTCTCCATTCATTTTATGGGGAAAATTCTAATCCCAACATGATGACCTTAACCCTTACCAACCCCTAACCTTAACCATAAGTAACCAAACAAAATACAAGACTTTTGGCATTTTTACTTTTTTGATCGTATTTACAGATTTTTGTGGGGACCACAACGTCAACAAAATAGGTTTTATTACATTGTGGGGGACATTTGGTCCCCACAGTGTAATATAAACCTATTCCACACACACACACACACACACACACACACACACACGTGTAGTAAGTATGATGAGGTGCCCAAAGCCCATTAGAAATCCTCTGAAAATAGACCTCAAAAAACTGTAACTGGGAAATTCAACAGGGATATTTACCAATACAGCAGAGGTCATGTGACCTAATTATGAGCGCTCTCTCTCTCTCTCGCTCAATTTTAAGCACACATGACATCTTTGGTCTCTCACCAGTGCCTGCCTAAATATGCTTTACCCATTCAGCCAATACTTGTGTGGTTCATACATGTGTGGTTCATTTATTAACACGTATATTAGGACAATCAGTAGCTAAAGAGGCAACTCCTGGTGCATGAAAACTAAGTTGTAGAAAAATGTGAGTAAAATCAAGCCAGTGGCTGTAATGAAAGAGAGAGCCATTACTAAAAAGAAGGTAGTGATTAGTGAATATCGTCTGAGAGGAGAAGGGCAAATTAAAGGGCCTCTATATCATGTAATTAACGGCAGACGGAGCTTGTGGGGAACAGCAGCACTGACAGGCGTCCCCACATTGTGGGGAGCTTTCATTCAGGCCAGCCTCACATGGAAGTCAAGCAGCTGGGATCAACATTTTCAGCGTATTTTAAAGAAGGTCCAGGGCAGAGGTCTCCATTGCTGTTGAACAGAATGGCTACAAAGCAAACGCTGAGATCCACTCCAGCATTGATATTGAACAGTACAGAACACTGTCATCTGGGTCTGCTGACATCCAGAACCTGGTAGCTGATCAGTAATGCAGTTGGCACCCAGCTTTCCTGTGTCCTGGGTTTGTTAATGTTACCAGTCCTTAATGGCACCGCTGTCTAAACAGGGAACGGGGGAAGCTTTCGTAACTCATACACGCGGCTGTCTGCCGTGGTGAGCCCTGGCGGGGGAGGGCTGGGGGTGTTTCCTGTGAGGTTGCCATGCCATTTCTCTGCCTCAGAGATTCAGAGTCTGCCTGACTGCACAGCTGCCATACTGGTTGCCTTAGTTACTGGAAGAATGCTGATTCAGAGAACTCACATGTTCATAACACATTTGGAATATAGAGAACACATCTGGAATGCTCAGAACATTCAGGACCCATGTAGAACATCCAGGACCGATCTGGAACTTGTAGAACATTCAGGACTCATCCAGAACACATCCAGAAGTCACATAACAATCATGAGACATTCGGAACACGTTTGGAACAACAGGAATGCATAATGTATTCCTGATTGGGCATTTTCAACACTCTGAACATTCACACACACGAGTGTTTTCACCTGGAAGAGTAAGTGAAAGCTGTAATTTAACCTCCCTGTCTGATATTCTGAAGACCAATGGATCTGCAGGTGCCTGGATTTGCACACTCAGGTTCTTTGGAAGACCTCCAATAGGGCTGGAACCTGGGACCTGTCGCAACAGCGGTATCATAGCAACAAAATGTTTAGAGACGTCTTTTTTGTAAGGACATCTACTCCAGAGTATTGTGATATATCTGCTTTATGGTATTAGAACTAGCTTAATTTTTAGGGCTATAATGAATGTGGTTGTATTCTGAATATCACAATGAATACAGTGAATTTAGATATTTAACCTGTTTCTAAAAAGAGGACATTTACTGCATCTGAGGAAGTCTAGATAGCAAATGGATGTACTTTGTAATAACTTACAGTGACACACTAACAGGCTGGATATATCAGAAAGGCTGAGCCCTTTAAGTAAATAAAGCTATCAGAGAAATAGATTATTATCATATTATGTCTGTATGTCTGAAAATGAAGCAGAATGTGACTAACGTGTAATAATTAGTGACATGGGATGTAAGAGTTAGAATACAGAGGCTTTGAAACTGACTGTTTGGGATTACTGAGAACTGCCATTCCCTTTTCAACTTTCCTATCGAATAGAAGAAGATGATTGACAGAACATGCTAGTCCCACTCACTGCAAGCTCTGAAGCCTCATTTCCATTGATGTACAAGAGCTGTGCTTGTGGGAGTCTTACTTCTGAGGGCAAAAGGGAAAAATGAATGGTTCAGATAGATAACCAATCAGAAAGTAGAGGAGATGGGTCCACGCAACAAGAGGAGGTGTGACCAAGACAACTGATTGGTTGATACCTCTTCCTCTAGTTGCTTGGACCCACCTCCTTCACAATCTTATTGGTTATCTCTCTGAACCAATCATTCTTCCTTCTGCCCTCAGAACATGTTTCTCTAAGCGAAACTCCTATGAACAAAAGCTGTGGGAATTTGGCTGTGGTCACTGGGCATTCTGGTAGATTTTGTTTTGTTGCTGAATGATAAAAATACATGAGCATAAAAACTTCACTGAAATGAAGGAAGATGTGAGGCCGGAGCTGAGGCAGTCTGTCCGAAGGGGGACTGGGACTCAGGGAGCGAGTGAAACAGTGGTCACACAAGAAAGGGTTCCTCAAGCAACATGACGTGTTCCAGCTCAGGAGCAATGATGAAACTGTCAACACACTCTCTGTTCTGAGGCTGAAAATCCTGCGTTTATCCCCGACCACGACCTTTATGCTGAGGTATCTGACTCCAAACCATTTCATGGAAGGACAGACTGGAAGTAGGGCCGAGGCCATTGTGTGCTCTGGATCAGGCCAATAGCTACAGCCAGAAGCAAGCCTACAGGATGTAAGTGCTGAGTGAAGATCCCTGTAGTCTGAAACAAATGTGCAGAATATAGCAGTGTTTCACAAGTCCAGCCCTCAGGGACCCCAGACAGTCCACATTTTTGCTCCCTCCCAACTGCCAACACACCTAAACCATGGAGCCGGTGTATTAGATTGGGAGTTGGGTGGGAGCAAAAACATGGACTTTCTGGAAGTCCCCAGGATTGCATTGGGATAACATGCTGCTTTTAAAGGACAGTGTCTGCATATAAAGAAAACGCAACACTTTCCTTAACCACTTATCACACCTCACAGGGTCCATCCTGAATGGGGATCTCGTCTGTCCCAGGACACTGGCATGCGCTAAGGGTTCTGAGGCTGTTTATGAGAAAGCCCACAACAGTGGGTGTGTTAGAAAATTCCCTGTGGAATATGAGTGAGTTTCATCTCCAGAATCAACAGAACAAATTATGGCCACCCGCAAGAATGTGACCACAAAAAATATCCGAAAATCTTTATCAACCCTCTCAACACCTACAACAGTTACCATAACTACCAAGTGGAGCACGGTGGAGAACAGACAAGGGTGCAGCAGCCAAACGGTTTGCCATGAGGTCTGAGTGTGGCCCGTGTGGGTAGGCAGTTTATGCAGCGTGAATGTATGTAGTGTAGGAAACAGCCGCTGGGGTGAACAATCCGTCCTTGTCCTGGTGTGAACACAGCCAGCTGTCTACAGAAGATGAGTTAAGGAACGGCTGAGGAGGACTCGTCACCAAAATCTCAGACGGCAGCCGGAGTGAAGGGGGGCTTCCTCACGTACGGACTGGGCTTCAGGAATGAACTGGAAACAGTGGATTTCCTCTCATTGGGCTGTTAAATTTATGTTTTCTTTATTTCATACGAAAACACAACAAAACAAATCAAAGTCCAATAAAGCAGATTAATACGAATGTGTCGTTTTTCCTTTAGATTTGAGTGTAAGGTTTCTGTGTGGTATAATTAATGATAACTTTGAGTAACTGCCCATAGGTTACGGACCAACCAGCATCTCATGGATGCTTTCTCAGTGATACTAACAGAGCATTTCATTAAACAGAAACATGTTTGGCGGGGAAACCCATGGCTAACCTTTTACTGAAGACCACAGTGTGATTCTATAGAAAAGTGCAAACCCAAAGCCACAACCACATCATTTTGCCCTGGTTTTTTTCTGAATTTACTGGTACAACCAAGGGGATGTAACAGCTGTTTAGTGACCTGTCTGACCTATAAACCCATACAATGCACTTTTATATAACCCAGATAAACACTGAGAACATAGAAAACCTAAAGTTTTCAAAGCCTGACATGATAATTTTTGTTGTTTGTTTCATACCACCTGTTATTTTCAAAGCAACTATTCTCAAAGGAGGAAGGCGTGCAAATCCGTCTATGCGGTACTTATACATTAGGCCTATGTGAAATATCTTTGTGCATGTAATGTAACGTCTATAATTGCAATGCACGCTGTTTGTGAATAGGCCTTCGGTTTAAATTTTACAAATGATTCTTAAAAAAAAGATCTGACTGCAGATCTAATTGTGTTTATCGGTTCAGTGTTTTTAAATGTTCCACAAAAAAACGTCAACCGACATAAAACTCTTGAAACTAGATGGGAAAACTGGAGAGAAATTTGGTGCAAGCCGAGAAAGGTCCGCAGCCGCGACACCACACACGGTGATGCTTTTTTTAGCTCATGATTTCATTTTATGGGAGCCGATGGGAGGAAACCGACCCCAGTCCTGCGGGTCCGAGGCTCCGAGACGCGCTTTTCAAGCTGCGAGTCATGTGACTCGGCTGCCCGGCTGCGCCGCTGTCCGCTCACCTTAATGCATGTCTGATCATTTCAAAGGCAGTCCCCAGCGTTCACACATCATGTATACCAGTGACTGATATACAGTACCAGGCTTTCCCTTTATATTAAGGACTGTAGGTTCTGCTCCGTTTTCAGTCCAAGGCAGCAGCGTGATTGCAGCAGCGGATGGGAACGCCGGGCTGCGGTCCGCCGCTGATGGGAAAGTACATATGTGTTTGTGGGTCTGGCGCTGAGAAAATGTGAGGAGCCGCAAGCTTTTCTCCCTCGGCGGGTTTACGGAGCAAAATGCAGAAAGGAATGCGAATCAATGATGGGCACATCACTTATCTGGGTCTTCTGGCAAAGAAGGATGGCACCCGACGCGGCTGCTTGAGCAAAAAGAGCTCGGATAACACGAAATGGCACACGAAGTGGTTTGCGCTACTGCAGAACATGCTGTTTTATTTCGAGAACGATTCGAGCTCCCGGCCATCAGGATTATACCTGTTGGAAGGATGCGTGTGCGACAGGGCACCGTCCCCAAAACCCCCTCTCTCAGGCAAGGAGTGTTTAGAGAAGCAGGTAGGGAGTCACCGCGTCCAGGTTTCATGGCAACTTCATAGATTTTATTTTGGATATGTGGGCATCCGCGACACCGGGCAGGTTTAACATTTATAAGCGCAACAAAGAGTGAAAAATCAATCGGTAATAAGCGAGTATAGCGCAAGATTTCTCCCCTCTGCAGGCGCGACTGCGTCCGGCGATCAATGTAAAAAATGTTGTTTTGGAGAAGCAGCCTGGAGGAGAACCGCAGGAGACCCGCGGTACTAACACAAGCGTGTCGATGCACCTGTAAGCGAGTAGAATGAAATTATTCATGTGTTAATTTGTGTATTTACAGCCTTTATTTGTAGTTTATCAAACGCATAGAATGACACAAAAATAAGTTGAATTCAGACCAAGTTATACAGTGTGCGCGGTTATGTAACATCTTATCAGATTATTTTTAAATACAATTTGGTAGGAACACTGCGATGCTGTAACCTAAATTAGCGTTACAGTATCGCAGATAACTAATTAACCGATGCGGCAGACCACTATTTATCCAATCTTTATTAATTAAACGCACATTTTAATTTTTTTTCTGCAGCACTGTCACGAAAAATGCAGAACAAGGTACATTGGTTCAAGTTATGAGATGCGGCAATTTAGCAATCCAGCTAACAAAGTTATTTTCTAATGTTTTTTAAGGAAATAAGAATATACAGAGCTGTTCGGAAAGGGCCTGTACGGCGCCACCTTGCGGAGAAAAAGTCTTGCCACAACCCGTTTGCCGTGTTGATTTAATTCTGCCAATCGATATTAATAGCATCCTACCTTGGCAACCGCGTCTTCTCGCCGTCTTTAACCCCAAGTTTTCTTTATTGTTTAATTCAAAATATTGTCTAAATGTGCTGTCACGGTCATTGCTGAATTTAGTTGTTTATATTAAACACTTGTATTTACGTGTGGCCTATTCTAATTCTGGACTAGTACTATAGAGTTAAATAAAAAGACAACCAAACAAGCAAATAAATAAATAAATAAAGTTTATCTTATTAACACTCCAGTCAACATTTTCACAGTGAAGCATACAGGTTCTGTTTAAATTATTGTATTATATAAAAAATGATATTTTGAATAGGGCATGCTGCCTTAATTTTACGGAAGTGATTAATTAATTTCCACAAAGTCTTCATGTCCGCGCGATTGACCGGTTATGGATGTTTTATCTATAGACAAAGGGGACCTTGTTTTTTTTCCTGATACCGTTCCTGGGTTTGTCTGCATCCTCAGCCTCCTCGCTGTATCAATCCAGGTTTTGCCGATAGCAGAACAGTGCTGATGGGGCAACGTGAAGCAGTCGCGGTCGCAGCACCTGGCTGTTGTTACACTGCCTTCAGTTTCGGTCTTTTACCAGTTTTTTTATGAAGATTGTTCTGAAGATTGTTCAAAGGTATGCATGTACCTGGCAGTAATACACAGAAAAAACACTAGGATAACTTAATTGCTATAATACTGTGTTTAAAGGTAATGAATATGTAACTTTGTAAAAGTTAATATATATCTTGACCAGAAGCCTGTTGATAGCTGACCTGAAGGCTGGAGACCAGGCTGTGATTATTCCTGGGATGATCAGAATACAGGGTGCACAGCTTATGGACAGGGGTGGTGTGTGTGCTTCAGATGGGGAGTGTACGTGCTTCATATGGGGAGTGTGCGTGCTTCAGATGGGAGGTGTACTTGTTTCAGATGGGGAGTGTGCCTGCTTCAGATGGGGAGTGTGTGTGCTTCATATGAGGCATGTGCCTGCTTCAGTTGGGAGTCTGCCTGCTTCAGATGGGAGGTGTGCGTGCTTCAGATGGGAGGTGTGTGTGCTTTATCAGGGGAGTGTGCCTGCTTCAGATGGGGAGTGTATATGCTTCAAATGGGGAGTGTGTGTGTGCTTCAAGGAGGAGTGTGTGTGCTTCAGGGAGGAGTGTGTGTGCTTCAAGGAGGAGTGGGTATGCTTCCGATGGGAAGTGTATGTGCTCCAGATGCGGAGTGTGCCTGCTTTATGTGAGGGGAGTGCATGCTGCAGATATGGACTGTGCCTGTTCATATGAGATGTGTACGGGGAGAGTATCTTCAGATAGAGTATCTTTAGATGGGGAGTGTGCCTGTTCATATGAGATGTGTACGGGGAGAGTATCTTCAGATAGAGTATCTTTAGATGGGGAGTGTGCCTTTTATTCAACATCAGTTCTGAACCCCCCATTTTATGTAAACCTAAGGTTTCTCACATCTTATACAGGTATGTCCTCTGCGAAATCTGACATCAGACGAAGTGTTAGTCTTATTAGTAGCCAAGAGTTAGCACACAAGAGATGGGCAAGCAGAGCATTTACGGAGTAGACAAGACCCAAGTTAAGGGTCACGTCTGAAATTGTGTCTCATATTTAGTCTGTCAGGGGCTGCACGGTGGTGCAGTGGTTAGTACTGTCATCTGGGACCTGGGTTTGAGTCTCCGCCAGGGTTCAATATGTGTGGAGTTCTCCCCATATCATCATGGGGTTTTCTCTGTGTACTCCAATTTCCCCCTCGCAGTCAAAAAACATGTTGAGGCTAATTGGAATTTCCAAATTGGCTATAGGTGTGAATGGTCTGTAAGTGTGCCCTGTAATGGGTTAGCGTCCCACCCTGGGTTGTTCCCTGCCTTGTGCCTATAGACTCTGGACCCCCTGAGACCCTGAATGGGATAAGTGGTTTCAGAAAATGGATGTAGTCCGTCATTCCTATAACAAACCGCATCATTGAATGGTGTGTTTGGCTTTGCTTGTGTGGATGGTGACTGCAGAGCCAATTTTTGTACTGGTTATGCTTTTCTGCGTGTCTGTACTTCAGGCACAGGATGCACATTTTATACATTCTGGGTGTCATGATCTCAATGTGGACTGTAGCTTCCATCCACTTGGAGCTGCTGTCCTTATGCACTCTGTACATAAGTGTTAGTTACAGGAAGCGGTACCTGCATGCTGCGGGGGCAGAATCGCATGCCTGACTTCCTGTTGGGAAGTAAATCAGTGTGGCCTAAGGTCTCACCACAGGGTGGGGATTCCCAGAAAAGTCCAGGCCAGGTGGCACAGGCTGGCACATGCTCATTATGGGATGTTTTTACAGCGGTGACAGTATAGACCTCTAGGTCCCTTACTGGCTGTATGGAATTAGCCGGTAAACCAGCTTAACTGGGAGAGCTGTGTTATCAGAGTCTTGAGGGGGGGTGTTATCTTCGTGGGTCAGAAACAGCCATACGTGGAGTGGCAGACGGAGCTCCTCTTTCAGTCTTCACCCTCATCTTCTTAGACTGAGTGCTGTACCTTTTAAAGGTCCTTACACTCCATTTAAAAATAACTGTGTTGAAATGGGCGGTTACTATGGCAACCAGTACTTGCACTTGAAAAAGTAAAGTTTAAAGACGCGTAATGCGGACGTGAAATTGAGCGCAGTCTTTGCGGCCGTCTGGGCCGGGTCACCCAGTTTAACACCTCAGTGGGGTCATTGTGCTCACGGTAAGGGACACCCTTCTCAAGCAGAACGTTGGTTACCCTTCCAGAAAAGTCTTGCTGAGGATAAAGAGGCTGGAATGGAGCCAAAGGGAAACATGATGTATCGTGGTGATCATCACACCAAGCATCAGTGACCTGACAGCACGGCTGAGGGCGAAATATTTTTACTAGAAATTCTGTAGTGCACAAAGACGTGGAGAAACACACAGTTGGACACATGAAGTGTTATATAGGCTGCCTGGTGCACAGTGGTTAGCACTGGTGCCTCATGCCTCTGGGACTTACGTTCCGCCGTGGCTCCATGTTGTGGAGTTTATATGTTCTCCCTGTGTCCTCATGTGGCTGCCCCTGAGTTCTCTGGTTTCTCCCCACAGTCCAAAAATTTGCTGAGGTTAACTGAACTTACAAAATTGTCCATAGGTATGATTGAATGGTGTGTGTGCACCCTGCAATGGGTTGTTGCCCCATCCTGAGTCGTTCCCTGCCTTGCATCCATAGGCTCTGAACTCCCCACGACCCTGAATAGGATGAGCAATTACAGAAGATAGATAGATAGATAGATAGATAGATATAGAGTGTTATATATTCTTGATTGGCTTCTTGTCTAGGGTACGTCCTAAGCTTCTTGCCTGGGAAGGGCTCCAATCCTACCACAGCTCAGACCAGGATATAGTTGGAAGATGGATGGATGTGTGGATTATATGGTCTTTGAAAACTTAGCCAGTTCAGCTCATGTGGCTTAACCCACCCAGAAAGCTCACATCCCGACAGTCTAAGCCATTTAGCAGCACACCTAAAAAGCCCACATCCCAACAGTCTAAGCCATTTAGCAGCACACCCAGAAAGCCCACATCCCGACAGTCTAAGCCATTTAGAGCTCATTCCAGAATTCCTGCTGAAGAACCCCATTTTCTGGGAGACAGGAAAAGCATTGCTGGGTTGACCAGGAAGGTGCTCATGTACATTTCACATCCTCCAGAGCTGAGAAATGTTCTCTGAGGTTGTGTTGTGAAGCCTAGGATGGGTGTGGCAATTGTGAGGATGCGGTGGAATTAAATGGCTGTTCTGATGGGTATTGTCCTGTCCAGGTACATGATGTCGTGACCGAAGGTGAGTACGGACCAGGGAATCAGGAGCAGGAAGACGGGGAATCAGGAACAAGGGGTTTATTAAGGAAAACAACAAGGCGAGGCACAAAACGGCAATGACTTCGATGAAAGGACTGGGGAAACATACTGGAACGCGGACTGAAATACAAAGGACTAATGGCAGAAACAAGGAACAGCTGGTAAACACAAGGATTCCACACGAGGTTAACGAGGGGGGCGTGGCACACAAGAGGATCGAACGAGCAGGGCGTGACACATCATCAGGGACGTTTAATGTGGGATTTATCTTTAATACTCTCTTTAGAGTATGTACTGTGGAAGGAGCTGATCGATGCCATATTTGTGACTGTGGTGGAAGTATAACCAGGCCTCAGTTTTTGAAGAGCCATGCTGAAGTTTGATTGGTCTTGTCTAGGTCACATCATGACAGGTGAAAATGAAAATGAGAATATTAAAATGTGGCAAACTTCACCACCACTACTGATAAACGTAACAATATCTGCCTGCTCTCCCCTTGAACCGTGTGGGGTTTTACACTGTCGTGTTAGCAGCATGCTGCAGTCTGTAGGGGCCCGCAGAGGTACTGCACACACAGAACATGGCGATTTCTCAGCAGGAGGCATCCCGTGGACTCTGTTTAGCACCAAATGCAGCATCTGGCAGAATAAAGACATTCAGGCTGACACTAAAACAAGCTTTCTGCAACCAGCTCACTTTCCTCTTTAAATGAACGGATGGGAAAACAGACACGGCAGAAAGATGGGGATGAAAAAGACATGGATGGACACGCTGAGTACTGGCTAATGGAGGACAGTGTTTCAGGAAAATCTGCAGCGCACAGATTACGGAATGTTTTCTCTCCTTCCCCTTGATGTGCATTGAGTGAGTGAGATGAGATCACAGGACCAGCACCATACAAATTAGAGTCTGCAGTGAAGTAGACAGCCAGACTATTTTAGGAGAGACCCTGAAAATATTATATGTGAGAAAAGTGAGAGAATCTGGGCATGGAGTCCTAGGAGAGTCAGGTGGGAGAAGTTTTTTTTTGGGGGGGGGCATGGAAGTCCTGAGCTAAGCTAAGCTCAGCTAAGGTAAGGTAAGGTAAGCTGAGCTAAGATAGCCTAAGTTAAGCTAAGGTAAGCTAAGCTAAGATACAGTAAAATAGCCTAAGGTTAGCTAAGTTAAGCTAAGTCCAAGGTAAGATAAACTAAGCTAAGTAATGGTAAGCTAAGGAGGCGAAACTTTATTGTCTCGAAAGACGCATGTCTTGGGATTCAAGCCACTGCATCACACAACATGCTTGTCAACAGAGGTGTCAGGAGGGCTTTGACATTGGGAGGGGCGTGATGTATGTTGCACCATCACAATGGGCACACATGCAAAAATCACATAATGCATGGATGTGACGTAAGAAAGACTTTAAAATAATAAGGATTCTATCATTTAAATAAGATTAACACTGTTTAGGGTACAGTTTCTGTACTAAACTTAACAAAAAATATTATTGATCCATATGATAAAATGATTGTGTCTGATATAGGACTATTATCTTTAATGAATTGGCTCCAGTAAAGCACAGATACATAATGAAAAACACGCAGCGTGCTTTTGTTTGTCTTAACGAAAACGTGTTAAATAGCTAAATTTACTGTAATGAATGGTGATCATTCATAACCCCCCAAAAAATATCTCAAAGTGAGTTTATTCAGCCCTAAAGAAATATCTGTAACACAGAGGTACAGCACAATGGTAAACAGTCCAGTGATTAGATATGGGACAAACAGTGATACCTGAATTGGGGGCGCAGAGGGAAAATACAGTGAGGGGAAGCCAAACACAGCATGGGGGATCAAGATTTATACACAGACATGGGATCCTGCAGTATTACACTTAGGACAGGTGAGACAGAGACCAGTCTGGCCACAAGGATGTAGATACCATTGACTGTGATAGGTCAGTGAAGCCAGATGGCCCAGGTCCACAATAAACTGCACTGATGATATCTCACTGATCTAAAAAGACAAACAATGACCCACAACCTGCTCCCATCACTGAAGATTAGTAAACACCATCCCCTTGGAGAAGAGCACATGTTCTTTAGGTTGTGCTATTGGGAGATGAGCAGAGGTCTGAATGAAATGATCAATGGAAAGCAGAGTGCGAAAGGAGCCTTCCTGTGTAAAACAGGACGGGCAGCCAGTGGAGAAGGCCGACCCACCAGCACTGAGAGCGGTTGCTAGGCAACAGGGAGCATACAGTTATGTAATCGAGCATCTTGAGAATTCCCTCATAGGGAAGATCCACCCGCTCCTCTAAAGAGATGCGCTCTTCTCAGACACTCCCTCCAGTGAAGGTCTCCTAGTACCATATTCTGGAGGTCCATGCGGCCTGATGCTCTCCAGTGCTGCTTCCCTGTCTGCTGCAGCCTGATAAGGGATTATCAGCAGCTCATATTCCTGCTCGGTGTCTCATACAGTACCTCCCTGCATCTGTAGGCAATCCTCACACCCCTCTGCTGCTATTCACTCTTTAATACTTTATGCATATTGACATATGATTTAGTATTAAGTTAAATACCAAACAGTTTTGCAAGGAACTCTGTTTACAAAGAAGACTTGGACAGTTTGAGCTTTGAGGAAGACCTTAAGAACTTCACAACAAATCACACACAATCGCCCATGCAGCACTTTTCCAGATCACTCCCTATTTAGGTTATACATTCCATTCAAGATTGAATGTCTATCTATAGACTGGTTGGCTTTCCATTGCCCTAAGGGCAGCGGAGAAAGGACAGAGCAGCTCGTGGGTGGCCAGCTAGAGCAGGCCTCACACCACACCGAGTATGTGAGACAGTAAGCATAGCCATATCATTACACTTCAGATGGCGGGTGACACGGTCACTGCAGTTCAGCTATTCTGTGGTGGGGGTGTGTATCAGTGTTTGAATTTTGAATTGTATGGTCCAGGTTTCATGAGCTCCAGCTGGAAAACAGATACACCTAATGAAAAGCAAAGGTGGAGACTATGGTGTACTGCCGATTGGGTCATACGTCTTTGCAGGTGTCAACATGTGAGTCAAGCCCGTCGGTGGTCTGATTGTGTGCTCACGCTAACGGAGAATCTTCTCCACACCTTTCAGTATTATTTCACCGTCAGCTTTAACCACGACAACCAGAAAGCACTGGAACTAAGGACTGAGGATGTGAAGGACTGTGACGAATGGGTGGCAGCAATATCGCACGCCAGGTATGGGGCTGTCCTCCGTCTTGTCTGTTTCTCTGCAAGTCCAGTACTGGCCTCACGAATCTAGGAAGGCCCAAGACTTCATGCCGAGTTCACGTTGGCAGTTCTGTGTGAAAAATTGAGCTGCTTGAATTCTGTAAATGGAACCTTTAGCCCAGTGTTTCCTTGTCCGGTCCTTTGGGACCTAGAGTCGGTCCACGTTTTTGCTCTCTCTGAGTTCCCTGCCAGACAGTCCACATTTTTGTGGACTAATACGTGAACTGTCTGTGGGTCCTCAAGGACCAGATTAGGAAACACTGGTTTATGGGACAACAGTGAGCACATATCACTGGCAGAGATGAGCCTGTTTTGTGCTAAAGGATGACGAGGATAGAAGGAATAAAGGGGCTCTCCTGGAGCTCTCCCTGAAGAGCAGTGTAGCCAGCTCACCACCTCAGAAGCTGCCATCTGTGAGAAGCGTTCAGAGACGGTGGGCTCACTGCAATTCACACATAAGCGCCAGGAATATTAACAGGACACGATCTGCCTAACTCTCATTAACAATAATTAACACAGTTTTTGTTTGGGACTTTAAAGCTTCATCCAGAGTATAATACCTAGAGGTAGTAATGTGGAAAAGGGCAAAAACACAGACTAATCGGGTAATAAAGTGTATGGGTACTTCAAATATGCAGAGTACAGAAGCACCAGGAGAAAGGTCCTTCATGGGACGTTCCCTGAGGTTCCTGCCAGCTGACATCGGTGCTCTTCTGCAGAAGGTTGCATCATCCTTGGAAGGCTTGCTCTAGTGGATTGGTCTCAGTACTGGCTGACAAAATACCTTCCTGCTCATGGTCTCTGCACTGCCTGATACCCAGCCTACGGATGGCAGGGCGGTGATCTCATAATGAGTACCAGCCTAATCCCTCTGAACTTCTCAGCGTAGATTCTTTCTCACCTCCAATGAACCGTGATGTTGAGCCATTTTTCAGACACGGTTCCAGGCATCCCATCTGCAAAGCTTGTCTGGGTTTGTTCCCTCCACTGTGAGTTCAGGATGCTTCCAGAGGTTAGCAGACATACATACCCCATGTCCTTTAGACCATTCTTGGTGACAGTGGAGGGTCTTTGACACCTTTGTCCTGAGCAGTGCTTCTTCCCCCACCAAGTCTTACAGTTTTAATGCATGTCCATGCAGCATGTTGTCTAATGTGGTATCTCTTACTGGTGTCCCCTCTCTGTGTATCTCTGAGACAGGTTAGTTAGCATTAAAGAAACTAACCTATTTAAGCTAATATAATGGGAAAATTAATTAATGGTATGACACAAATTGCATGACAAATTTCTATTCTGTGTCAGTATGTGTCCCTGCTGTGGCTGTTTTTTTGCTGTGTCCCTGCTGCAGCTGTGTCAGTGTGTGTCTGTGCTGCAACTGTGTCAGTGTGTGTCTGTGCTGCAGCTGTTTGTTTTGTGTCTGTGCTGCAGCTGTGTCAGTGTGTGTCTGTGCTGCTGATGTACGTTTTGCGTCTGTGCTGTACCTGTGTCAATGTGTGTCTGTACTGTAGCTGTGTCAGTGTGCGTTTGTGCTGATGCTTTGTCAATGTGTGTCTGTGCTGCAGCTGTGTCAGTATGTATTGGTGCTGATGTAATATCAGTGTGTGTCTGTGCTGCAGCTGTATCAGTGCATGTCTGTGCTGCAGCTGTTTATGTTTTGTGTCTGCGCAGCAACTGGATGTAACTGGGCCCTGTGGTCTGTCTGTGCTGTGTCCAGTTACAGGAACCTGGCCACTGAGCATGAGACCCTCATGCAGAAGTACCTCCATCTACTCCAGATTGTGGAGACAGAGAAAACGGTTGCTAAGCAACTCCGACAACAGATAGAGGATGGGGAGATAGAGATCGAGCGCCTAAAATCGGAGGTAAGGTGGGATTTCCGCAGGCTTGATCTGTCTTCTACAATGTTCTAACATTAAATTGAAAATATGCTGAATACACAAGAAATTAAACCCTTTTAGCGTGTTCAACCAGATCAATAACATTTAAATTAGGTTTCAGGTGAAACAGAGATGTTTTCAAGCGTAGAAGAGTAATTATAGGTCATATGGGAGCCTGCTAATGTAAAATCCCTCCAATCAGGTTATTTCCCCACTGTGTTCCCTGTAAACCAGATCAAATGGTTATTTTACTTTAATGTGCAAATCCAGAGCTGTAAAAGTGGTTCCCTGAATATGCATGAATGAGGCATCATTGTACCTGTTGCAGCCTTTTCTGAAGCAAGATAATAAACTCTTTCAGTCCGTATGGAGTAAACAAGGACAGAAAGGTAGAACAAGGACAGCCTGAGCGGCAGTCTGGCCGCCTCGTCCACTGGGTCGGACTTCACCCCGGTGCACTTATAAGCATGAGGATGTTGACTTTGTTCTCTTATGGCCATCTCTCGCAGATAGCAGGCCTGCTGAAAGACAATGGGAAGATTCAGTCTGCCCCAGCGGTAGCCCCGAGTGATGAGGACAGTGAGATCAAGAAGATCAAAAAAGTAAGGAGCTGAACTCAGCCCATGCGGTCACGCGGGCAACAGGCCGGTGGCAGCTGAGCGTCTGAAACCCTCTGTCGCCAGGTGCAGAGCTTCCTGCGCGGCTGGTTGTGCCGGCGGAAGTGGAAGACCATCATCCAGGACTACATCCGCTCGCCGCATGCGGAGAGCATGCGCAAACGCAACCAGGTGGTGTTTAGCATGCTGGAGGCCGAGGCCGAGTACGTGCAGCAGCTGCACATCCTGGTCAACACGTTCCTGCGGCCCCTGCGCATGGCCGCCAGCTCCAAGAAGCCGCCCATCACCCACGACGACGTCAGCAGCATCTTCCTCAACAGGTACGCCTGGGTGCCGCGCCACAGCCCAGAGAGCGAGGAGCGTCCACGGCGTGGGCAGCACAGGGGAGAGTGGACCGGATCTGAGATCTTCTCCAAAACATCTTCTAATGAAAGGCACTGTGGCGGCCCAGTAACTCAGTCACAGCCGTTTTCAAACCACATTACTATCAAAAGCACTGGGACACCAAACTACTGCAGCCTCAACCTGCTAGAGGAGGGCTATTCAAATTATGGTTCTCAAGGTCCAAGCACTGCTAATTTTCCAGCCTTCCTGGAATATCCAGCGGCGCAGTGTGTGGCTCAGTGGGCTAAGCTTCTGTGCCTGTGATTAGAAGGCCACTGCTTTGAGCCCAGCCTCAGGACATCTGTGGGTCCTTGAGCAAGGCCCTTCACCCCCGGCTCCCTCGGCATCGCTGTGAGTGGCTCCCCCTTGTGGCCAGCTAGAACATGGATGCAGAACAATGGTGCGGCCAGTATGACCAGAAATTCATAGACAGTATTACAGAGCATCTGCTATAACAAGACGTGTGATTTTCCTGGAGTGTCACTGCTTGCCTCATGACTTGATAACACAGCATATGATGCACGGACAGTTTTACGTGTTGACCATTAGAATCACTCACGCACATATGTGCTAAAACACTTGCTGAAGGTGGATCCATTTTTGTTCCCTTTTTTTTTTGCAGTGAAACTATCATGTTCCTGCACCAGATCTTCTATCAGGGCCTGAAAGCCAGGATAGCGAGCTGGCCAACACTGGTGCTGGGTAAGGAGTTATGGGCCATTGTGGGTAAAAACAACAGGTGAGGGGTTTCCAAAGAGCTTTTAGATTATTAAGATCTATTTCTCTAGGCTACAGTATTTATTGCAATTCATTTTACAATTGGCTTCCATGTATTTTACACATTTTTCCCGTCAGCCAGGGTGTTGAGACACTTTATATTGATGACGTAGATGTGATTATTTTATTACCTGATAATTTTTTCAGCCCGAAGCAGCCTTTTAAGATGCCTTCACGCATAAATTCAAACATGGCTAGTGTGCAGTGACACACATCGCATAAGAAAAGACTGAGGAAATACAAGATTGGGACAGTAGGTGGCGTAGCGGATAAAGAGATTCATGGCTCTTGCTGTCCGGAGGGGCTTTGCAACAGCACCTTTGAACCCGGCACTTACCCTGATTTGTGCCCTGATTAAAATGATCAGCTAAGTATCTGAATATGAATACCCTGCCCTGATCGCCCCCATTTTTGGTCTTTCCTTCCCAAGCTGACCTCTTCGACATCCTCCTGCCCATGCTGAACATCTACCAGGAGTTTGTGAGGAACCATCAGTACAGCCTGCAGATTCTGGCTCACTGCAAGCAGAACCGGGACTTTGACAAGCTGCTGAAGCAGTACGAGGCCAAGCCGGACTGTGAGGAGCGCACGCTGGAGACCTTCCTCACCTACCCCATGTTCCAGGTGATGTTCCTGTCGCTCTCACCGCAAAAAGTGGCGAATGCCGGATCATTTTTTGCCGTGAAATACCATGTTGTAATGCGGTTGCGTACTTTAACAGTCTGCACCAAAACCACTGAGGTGTTGGGGGCATCGGTCCCATATCTCCTCTGTCCTCCATGTCCCCTCCGACAGATCCCTCGCTACATCCTGACCCTCCACGAATTGCTAGCCCACACGCCACATGAACACATAGAGAGGAACAGCCTGGACTACGCCAAGTCAAAGCTGGAGGAGCTTTCCAGGTAAGACCCAGGTGCAAGGCGGCGCGTCGTATGTAGAAGGGTCGAGGCTTCAGTCTCAAGTGGGGCAATGCCACTGGCAGTGGAGTGCTATGTACACTACAACCGAATATGTACGGTGATCAAGGTGTTTGTTGGGAGAAATGAGCATTTTTGAAGCCTGAAGAATTGGTTGGAGACCAAAAAGGACCTTGTAAATACAGTACAGTAACACCAAATATTTTGTATGATCATTCCTTGTCTAAAATGACTGACGTAAAGCCGAATCCCACAGAATTATGCATGACGAGGTCAGCGAGACGGAGAACATCCGAAAGAACCTGGCCATCGAGCGCATGATTGTAGAAGGGTGCGAGATTCTCCTGGACACCAGCCAGACGTTCGTCAGGCAGGGTAAGCTCCATTTTTTCTACTTTCTACTGACAGGATTTTGTGTCCTAGTCAGCTCTCCACATCCCTGGCTCTCAGATCCTTGCATTACCACATCCCCCTAGTATTACTGCAAGCAAGGATAATTACCCAGAAATATTTGTGGTTTGTCACATGATTGTAAGGAATTTCGGTAATACTTTTCATACAGCTGTCACATTTAATGCATTATAATGGTCAGCTTAAGAATTAATAAAGCATTACAGCATCTTCAATTGACTGTCATAAGGCATTATAGTGTTGATTATAATACTTCATAAGCTCCAATGAAGCTCTCATCTATAATGCACTATAGATACCTTTATAAGGCATTTTAATGGTCGGTATAAGAATGAAGGATGTTTTGTACTGCATTATGAATATATCTATATTGCATTATAGATGAGAACTTCATAAGGCGGTCATAATGCATAATAACCATGGCAATAACCTGTGATGGTATTATGCCATTTTATAAATATTTATATCTATGTTTATAATGCTTTATGAATGCATTGTAATGTATAATGGTGAATGTGTTCATTGATTCTTATAGACAAGGCATTCGAAGAAAGTGTTACTGGAGTGTCCGTTCCCAGGTGTAATAGAACAGTTACTTCTCCGAATGCTGACTCAGGGACTGTGTTGGTAATACATATGTTGTGACATACAGTGTAAGTAACAGATTTCCTGGTAGGAGACATGTTGTGAGAAGGGGGTGGAGTGCTCAGGCTGCTGTGCTGAGTCGGCCGTGTTACGCCTTTGTACATATGCTGTATTTTATCTTGTACTGCCCACACCCCCCCATTTCCCCAAGCCCCCCCCCCCCTCACGCTCTCCTGTCTGTCCACAGGGTCCCTCATTCAGATCCCGATGACGGAGAAGGGGAAGATCACCCGAGGGCGGCTGGGCTCGCTAACGCTCCGGAGGGAGGGCGAGAAGCAGTGTTTCCTCTTCTCAAAGCACCTGATCATCTGCACCAGGGGCTCTGGCGGGAAGCTGCACCTGACCAAGGTGACGTCTGGCTTGTCCCTCTCTTCACCTCGACACGTAAACATGAGTCATGCTCCTGTCCCCATGCCGTCACTGCCATGGAGATAATGTGCCTGCTTAACGATGCCTGGAGGATCACTTTATTTCCTGAAATAGCTGTTGCTGGTTATTATAAGCTTTTTTTGATTTTAACTGACCTGACAAAATGCCACCCCTTTAAAATCAGCTCTGACGACATTTTGGAAGGGGACCCTCTGCTCCTTTGTTGATTCCTTTACTCGATCAAAATCAATGATTACGATGGCGCTAGTTTACATTTTATTTATTTAGACGTTTTTATTTAAAGTCATGTACATGTATTTTTGGGAAAGCTGGGCCTGACAGTCCCTGGGGCAAATTGGGTTATTGGCCAACAGTGAAATTACTCTGCTGATCAAGGTATTCGAACCAGCGACCTTCTGATCACTGGTACGGTGCCCTAACCTGCTGAACCAAGCACCACCGCTAGTTCATGCATAAGATGCAAATACTAACTATATAAGTTAGTATATAAAATGGAATCTGATCAATGGTAATGCTGACATATGCGTTTGTGCTCTGACACTCGTCCCCAGAATGGCGTGCTGTCTCTCATCGACTGCACGCTGATGGAGGATGCTGAAGGAACGGATGATGAAGGTCAGTTCTGGGGGATTTGTGTCTGCTTTTCTGAAAGAGCAGGTTCAGGGATATTTATACATTTTCAAAGTCTGACCTGCTGAATTCAGTTCAAAGCTTTTTTTGAACTGAATGTGTGGAAACTGTGATGTGTGGAAACGTTTGGAAACTGGACTTTAACAAATGAAGTGTATTCTTGACTAGATGAACGTTTTGTGAAAAAAGCATGTCTGTTTTGATCCAAAGCAAAACCTGAGAAGACCGGACAGGACACGGAGCACCTGGATTTCAAAATCGTGGTGGAGCCCAAAGATAGTCAGGCCTTCACGGTCATCCTGGTGGCTTCCTCACGCCTGGAGAAATCTGCCTGGACCAGTGACATCAGTCAGGCACGTCCCATTTTTCTTAGAGCTGTGACTTGTCCTTGATGTAGAGTCGACATTCACGTTGTCCATCTCTGCCGCAGTGCATAGATAACATCCGGTGCAATGGCCTCATGATGAATGCCTTCGAGGAAAACTCAAAGGTCACGGTGCCTCAGATGATCAAGTAAGTGGCTGTGTGTGGCAGACCCTCCGCACCTCTATATGTCACTGTGTGCATTTGCGGCACCGTGCTTCTTCTCTGACCAGGTCGGACACCAGCCTGTACTGTGATGACGTGGACATCCGCTTCAGCAAGATGATGAACTCTTGCAAAGTGCTGCAGATCCGCTACGCCAGCGTGGAGCGGCTGCTGGAGCGGCTGACGGACCTGCGTTTCCTCTCCATCGACTTCCTCAACACCTTCCTGCACTCCTACCGCGTCTTCACCACCGCCGATGTGGTGCTGGACAAGCTCATCGCCATCTACAAGAAGCCTATCAGTGCCATCCCAGCTAGGTGAGTCCATCTTCCCGCCACCCAAATGTCAGAGACCCCATCAATCAATCAACCAACCAACCAAACAATCAACCAACTAACTAACCAATCAACTAACCAATCTGTCAATCAATCAGTCGATCAATTGATCAACCAATCAACTAACAAACCAACCAAGCAATCAATCAACTAACCAATCAATGAATCAATCAACCAACCAACCAATAAATCACTGTCAACTCAGCAGTTCACTTGTCAGCCAATAATTTTGTTGATCAGTCAGCTAATACAGGTGGCTCTAATGATTAAATCAAATGTTTGGATTGTTTGCCAGACCTGTAGACAGGATGTTTACTGTGGGTTATTTAGTGGGTCTGTAGATTGCATTTGTAGGCTGGGTCAGCTGGCTGAATCTGTAGAATGGATCTGTACACTGGGTCAGTTGATTGTATCAGTGTGGATCTGTAGGCTGGATGTTCACATTAGGGTTCTGGAGTAGATTCTAATGTTGTGCTGGTCATTGTATGTAAACAGTAGTGTTGCCTGGGAGAGAATATTCATGTGTGGTCTGGATGGCAGAGCATGGGTGCATCTCTAAGTGTGTGTCTGTGTGTGAGTGTGTGTCTATTGTGTGTGAATGTGTGTGTCTGTGTGTCTGTGTGTCGTGAGTGTGTGTCTGTGTATGTTCGTATGTGAGTGTATGTTTGCGTGAGTGTTTCTGTGTGTTAGTATATGTTCATTGTGTGTGTGTGCGTGTGTGTGTCTATGCATGAGTGTGTGTCTGTGTGTGAGTATATGGCTGTATGTCTGTCTGTGTGTGTGTGTGTGTGTGTGTGAGTGAGAGAGAGAGTGAGAGAGGGAGAGGGAGAGAGAGTATGTCTTTGATTCTGCAAAACATCAGCAACTATGTCTCTGCCCATCCCTGGTCTGGCCACCGCTCCCTGCCGCTCTGTCGCCATGGCAGCCAGCTGCTCTGCTGCAGGACCCCACCCTCCTCCTGCTCCGCCTGCATCATTAAATATTCAGCACGCTGATCTGCGTCGCGGTGCCCCCAGTACCCGCCGCCCCCCGCAGATGTCGTATCCCCGGCTGCCCGCTCTGTCACATCATGGCCTATTAATAAGGCTCAGTGAGGGGTGTCTGTCCTCTGGGGGGGGGGGAGCTCTGCAGAAAGACCTTCTCGACATACTATGTGTTTGAGATACATCTCAGTACACAGGTGTCAGGCTGTTTGCCTTCATCTCTATGCCAGACAGTTACTGTCCACATATTACCTGCTGTATGTCTGTATTTTTTTAACTCTGTGTAGAATAATCCAGGTGGGACCGTTAATTTCTTACTGCTATCCTCAGATCCCTGGAGCTTTTCTTCGCCAGCAGTCAGAATAACAAGCTCCTGTACGGGGAGCCGCCCAAATCCCCAAGGGCCAGCCGGAAATTCTCCTCTCCGCCGCCCCTCTCCATCGGCAAGACCTCGTCTCCAAACCGCCACCGCAAGCTCTCGCTCAACATCCCCATCATTACGGGCGGCAAGGCCCTGGACCTGGCCGCCCTCAGCTGCTCCACCAACGGCTACGCCAGCATGTACTCCTCCGTCTCCCCGTTCAGCAAGACCACGCTGGACATCAGCAAGCTGTATGTCTCCAGCGCCATGTCAGGCAAAATGGCAGACGAGCCCGAGCCCAGGGCCGACAGAGGTGAAGAGCCACCTCTCTATAAGCCAGGTCAGCTTCCCCGAAATACGGCAAACCCCTGGTAGGGGTTTGAAACCCACAGTCGGTGGGATCATCAAAATCTGTCAATCACTGCTTGCTCTAACCAATAGGAAGCAAGTTAACCTACTGGTGAATGACAGTGTATGATAATCCCACTCACTGTGGGTATGAACTCTCATTTCTGCCTTTGCTACCTGTGGCTGCATCAGACTGACTATGAGGAACTCATGGTTGGTTCCAGGTAGGTCTCCATTGGAAAGGGAACTTCGAGATTGAGAGTGTTAACCCAGTAAACTCTGAAGATTCAGGAAAATGTGTCTCGAGCGGAGCCTTCGGAAGTGTAGGCGAGCAGCCTGTGCGCAAACGTCTCTCAGGCTGAATGAATCACGGTGTCTCTGCCTCGGCCGCACGTGGGAAACCCGATCTGGCAGCTCGGCTCCTCCAGCCTCCGTCTGCTTCTCCATCACATGCAGACACCGCCGTGCGGGAGGAGAGCGACGACGGCAAGGTCCAGAGCGACGACGCCGAAACCGAGACGTCGCCTAACAAGTCCCCCACGACTCCCAAAACCACGAGATGCAAAAATGCCTCAGGTAGGCCCCGGGGGGGGGGGGGGGGGCATTTCACCCCACAAACCTGAGCTGCACACTAAGATACCATCTGCATGCGTATCTCTGCCAAAAGCTCCTACTGTAAAATATTCAAAGCAGAGGCTTTGGATTGGCTGAGGAAGACAAACAAGCATTTGGTAACAGGGCTCTGTGAGATGGCAACACTGTTTCTGCACCTGTAGGTCAGTGTACCAGGATGGACACAGCTGTCGAGTTCGAGGACAGCCTGTGCTTTACTGTTCACTGGCTGCACTGAGGGAACACAGAAATCCCAGTGCAGCCCCCAGGTCATAGGATCCCCAGCTCAGAGCCTCCTGCTCACAACCCCATTCCCAGCCCCTGTGTACTGTGCTTTCCGAACAGCTAAGCTCCCTCACTTTCATTCAGTTACATTCAAAAATGAACAAACTGAAATCCCTGCCAAACCAATTATTCGATAACAGCAGAACAAAAAAAAAACAGCACAAGGTTCACTGTTCATATATGTGAACAGCAGGGTAGGCACCTCCTTGGGACCCTAACAGGGCTGCACACCCGAGGACCTCTCCCAGAGTCTGGGTGTTACTCTGCCCTCTGCTGGGAGCACATCAAAAGCAACACATCTCTGTATTTATGTATCAATGAGTTATCCGGCAGAGCTATGCAGTAATCTGGCCGTACTAAGCATGGTTAGTGTGTGACTCCATTAATTATAAAAGCAGAGCCCACTGTCACTTCTATTTAATTTAAGTTATACAGTAACCCAGGGATGTGCGTGTTCCATGTGTTTCACACTCTCAGGCTCAGAGTATCAGGCAGCTTGGTCTTACACTGTCTCACGTCATTCATGTACTCAGGAGCTTGGAATTACCTGTGTTTTCACAAGGAACAGTTTCAATCTGCTGCACCGTGTGTGTGTGTGTGTGTGTAATTCACCTTCAGTAACCCATACTTTGCCCCCCCAGATTTCTCTCTGTTTTCCTACAACAACGGGCTGGTGATGTCGCCCTGCCGTGAGCTGGACGCCACGCGCAGCGCCCTGTCCGCTGCCTCGGCCTTCGCCATTGCCACCGCGGGCGCCAACGAGGGCACGCCCACCAAGGAGAAGTACCGCCGCATGTCGCTGGCCAGCACGGGTGAGTTGCGGGTGCCTGTGCAGGGAGACCGGGCATCTGGCTGCCCAATAACAACACGTCACGAAATGACAACGTGGAGAAATATGACCAGAGTGTGCTCTCCATTCCCAGGGTTCCCCACTGACCAGAGGAATGGTGACAAGGAGTTTGTCATCCGTAGGGCAGCGACCAACAGGGTTCTGAATGTTCTGAGGCACTGGGTATCCAAACACTCACAGGTACAGCTCACAGACCACGCAGAACCTCCCATATACACGAGTATGGAGGCTTTAATCTTCTTTTGGTGACTCAACCTAGGATTTTGAGGACAGCAACGAACTGAAACTGAAGGTGATCGGTTTCCTGGAGGAAGTCATGCATGATCCCGAGCTGCTGACCCAGGAGAGGAAGGCTGCAGCCAACATCATCAGGTACCGGAACCGCAGTGGCCATCTGGAAGGCCGCCTGTTAGCAGAGGGCAGGGATCTGCTGCTGACCTCCATACTACTGGACACATCATGTCACTGCATGCACAGAGCTCTCTGTCTGCATCGTCTCTGCAGAACCCTGACCCAGGAGGATCCGGGAGATAACCAGGTGACTATTGAGGAGATGAGACAACAGGTAAGATGATCTCATCTGGACTTGCACAGATGCACCACAGTATATTTTCGCTCGCAAAGACTATCCAAATGTGACAGTGATCTGTTCTATAAAGACAGAACCTGCTAAATATAAAAGTGGATTTAGCCCTGATGCAAAGACTTGATTGGTCACTCTGTCTTTTTTTTTGTTCAATGTGCAAAATTACCTGCTGCCTTTATCTGTGACTTTAGAAGTATCTAATTACAGTGTGTTTCTGAAAGAACAATGCATTCAGTGCGCAGGTGATTTTCTCTGGACTAGTTTAGCTTTCCTCTTTAAACATGAGGACTGTAAGAGGCTTATAAAGCTTTGTAAAATCAGGGCAAACAGCAATACACAAGGAACAGCTTTATGAGGACCTGGGCAATGTTCTGGTGTCTAACTGAATGACACGGCTATTTGTGGATGTGTGTGTCTGTGTGGAAGGCCGCTGAGGTGAAGGCCGAGCCGTTCGAGAACCACTCTGCCCTGGAGATCGCAGAGCAGCTCACCATGATGGACCACCTGGTCTTCAAGGTCATCCCTTATGAGTGAGTGAGGGTGGAGGATAAGATGGAAATCCTGGGTAATAAAGAGTGAACTAGTTACTGAGCATGGAACATGAACTAGTCTAGCTATATACTAATGAGTTTAGATACAAATTGAGTGTTTATTTACAAATAGTTAGCTTTTACGCAACTCAAGATATGTAAATATTTCAATTGCAGAATAAACTGAAACAAGTTCCAGTAGAAGATGTGAATTTTAGAATGGATAATACTTTACTTGGGGGCACAAATAATGTAGTAGTGCACTCTTACTTAATGTACTAATTAACCAGAAACTAAGTATTAGTTATTTACTGATCCCATGTTCCTTCATCATTAATCAATCATAACAGTTCACGTGTTTCATGCAGTTACTGTATTTGTTATGATTTGTACTTGAGTAGTAACTGAGTTATTACGCTACTTGTCCCCCCTCAAGTAAAGTGTTGCCTATGATTCATTACAGTCAGGTGCTTCTTTGGAGACAGTTACATGGGGATGTAGTATGTTGCGTGTTGAGATGTAAATCACTCTGCAGGGAATTTTTTGGCCAAGGGTGGATGAAGAATGACAAGAATGAGAAAACACCATACATAATGAGGACGACCAAGCACTTCAATGACGTGAGTAACGCCTGGAAAGAAGAGAAGCTAGCAGACGGTCATTTGGTCCAGCGCGGTTAAGATTTGAGATCTGCAGTCCTTGGGAAGTGCTCTTCCTTCTGGACGATGTTTTGATTTGAGGCGGGAGCGGAGAGGTGACGTGAAATGGCTGCCCCCTTGACAGATGAGCAATCTGATCGCCACGGAGATCCTGCGCTGTGATGACATCACCACGCGGGTGGCGGTGATGGAGAAGTGGGTGGCGGTGGCCGACATCTGCCGCTGCCTGCATAACTACAACGCCGTGCTGGAGATCACCTCGTCCCTCAACCGCAGCGCCATCTTCCGCCTGAAGAAGACCTGGCTGAAGGTGTCCAAGCAGGTGGGCGGCCCTCTCTGTTTCGCCCCAGCACCACCACTTTTCTCCATCTCTGTCCTTCATGAAACTCGACTGAATCCTGTTTCCCCTTTAGCAACAGGAACAAAATTCGCAGCTGGACATTATATGGTTGCTTTCCCGTACTGAGGTGATACAAACTTTGAGGGCACTTTCGATACGGCGAATCTGGGAGTAACCAGTGTGTTAAATTAGTTGAGGGTTATTGTCACATTGTGGTACCCCGGTGTACGGCAATACTTATGAATGTCACACAGAAAGCAGTGCTCAGTGTAACTTCTTGCAATGTGTGTGCTCTATAATCGCCACAATAGGTATTTAGTTCTCAATTGGTCACGTGACCGTGAACAATGCGCTGTAGTTACAAAACTGCGAAGACTTCCTTTCATTAACATCATTCAGTTATGTTGTCACTGTCAACATAATCCTGAATAACCTTCAGGGTGACCTATCCACATTCTGATGCTGCTGCTGTGTTTGTAATTTTTTAATTTGTTCCCACCTCTAGACAAAGGCAGTGATTGACAAGCTGCAGAAGCTGGTCTCCTCTGAGGGCAGGTTTAAAAACCTAAGAGAGGCTTTGAAGAAGTAAGTGCTTCACATTAAGCAAACCTGAACTTCAGCTTTTCCTTGAAATGTTTAATTCTGGGGAGTTAAAGCATGTTTCTGATACTGACTCCTCAGCTGGATACGAAATGTCCGATTTACACACACACCGTGCTTTGGCTGCTCGTGGGAGTTTTACTTACACAAACAAGTTCTGAGGGCGGAATAAAAAATGATTGATTCAGAGAGAGAACCAATCAGATTATAGAGGAGGAGGTACGTCCAAGCAACTAGAGGAGGCAGGACCAAGACATCTGATTGCTTGGTCCCGCCTCCTCTAGTTGCTTGGACCTGTCTCCTCTACAATCTGATTGGTTCTCTATCTGAATCAATCACTTGTCATTCTGCCCTCAAAACATGTTTGTGTAAGTAAAACTCCCATGAGCGCTTCGGCAGGGGTAGGTTTTTGTGCTGTATTTTGACGGTGGTCATATTTTAAAATTCCCTTAAGATATTACCGTACAGTTGCCGCCTCTCCCCCCTGCCAAACTAGATGAGGTTGTAATCTGGAATGGTTGAACATCTGGACAGAGTATGAAGGCATCTTCTGACTCCTCCCTCTCGCTCTGTCGATGTTGCCTGTCAGCTGTGACCCCCCTTGCGTGCCCTACTTGGGGATGTACCTCACCGATTTGGCCTTCATCGAGGAAGGCACCCCAAACTACACTGAGGACAACCTGGTCAACTTCTCCAAAATGAGGATGGTGGGTCTTGTCTCCAGCGGCGATGGAGAAGTTGAGAGAACATGTTGACTGTTCTGGAGAAGTTACCCATGTCCGCTCATTGTGTTGTCAGATTTCCCATATCATCAGAGAAATTCGGCAGTTCCAGCAGACAGCCTACAAGATTGAGTACCAGCCAAAGGTAATGCTTTTGACCGGCTTCTCTGAGAACAAGTGTGGGCTGAAAGTCATAACTGTGTCACATGGAACCAACAGTAACAGCAAATGTTTCATTGCTTTGTGTATGGAGTCAGTCTTGGGTTTCAGAATTATTAATATTGATTTTGATTTGCCATTCATTTCCAACAGACATGTTATAATAATACAGTGGTACCTCGGTTCTCGAACTTAATCCGTTCCGGACTCCGGATCGAATCCTAAAAAGTTTGAGTTCTGATCGAATTTTTCTCATAAGAAATAATGTAAAGCCAATTAATTGGTTCCCGGCCCCCCAAAATTACACCTAAATACACTGCCCGGCCAAAAAAAAAGTCGCCATTTGAATTTATATCAGCAAATACTTAAGAGCCAATGACTGGATCATTATTACAGCTCAGCTACGTTATGCAGCAATAAAGTGAAGCCAACTGAGTACCTGAATCTCCTGAATGATGAAGGTTACACCTCCATCCATCATAAATGGATTTTTTTCTTACCTGTTGGCATGGGCATATTCCAGGACAAGAATGCCAAGATTCATTGGGTTCGAATTGTCAAAGAGTGGTTCAGGAAGCATGAGGAATCATTTTCACGCACGACTTGGTCACCACAGAGTTATGACCTTAACCTCATTGAAGGTCTTTGGGATGTGCTGAAGGAGGCCTTATGGAGGTTCAACTCACTTGTCAATACAGGATCTCGGTGAGAAATTAATGCAAATATGGATTAAAATAAAGGGTGAGATGTGGAAAAGGGTGGAAACAATGCCATGACAAATGTGCGGCATAATCAAAGCTAAAGGCGGTCCAATTAAAAATTCAAATGGCGACTTTTTTTTGGCCAGGTAGTGTATGTTTTTTTTTTTAGCATTTAATCACAAAATGAACAGGATAAAACAAGAAGAGCATTTTTTTCTTAATGGCTTCCAAAACAATAAAGATCTTATCCCAACAT